TCCCTACAGTGGTGTCCAGTCACAGCCACAAGTGAACATTTCAGCACTAGCAACTACATTCCCCTCTTTCACCTAGTGATGCTCCTTTCCACAGCAAGGAAGTCCTCAGCATAACTCATTCTAGAACCCACATTTATCCAGACCCTTGAGGTTCCAATAGCATTCCTCAAAGGAGAAAGAAAAAAAGCAGCCATCCTTGTGTCATCATCTAGAGCCACCAGAGACCCCTTCAGCCCTTCACAGGTCTCAGACCCTTCTCTCATGCAAGGCTGCAAGGGAGCTCTTGGGAATCTACAGCCTTACACTGATGACAATAGTAAGGTCTGCTATAAAACCTTGACCTTCAACCTGGAGGTGCAAGCATCAACACTTACCCTCATCACTAGGGATTGCTTCTGTGCAGCTTTTTTGCCATGTCTAATTACTGCTTTCAGCTTCAAGGGCTGACTGGGCAATTAGTTTGGCATGAAAGAGGCCTTGTTACAGCATTGTTAGTCTTCCGAATAGTCTTTTTTTTTAAACTCTGGTAGATAGTGCAATGAGGCACTGACCTCAGAGGTTAGACAGACATCTACAAGAACAATAAATCTGAAGAGGTGAGGCTTTCATAGTGGTTTGATAAGAACAAATCAAGCACTGTTTCACAATAGTATTGTAATAATTTGGCATAGCAGAATTATGTGCAACAGTGAGATTCCAAATAAAACAAGTATGAATAGACAGGTAGGTAGATATGCAACATCAGAAATACAGGATGAGGGATACTTCTAATTTAAAGCAAGAAACCATTGGGTAATTGTGGGAAACTGTTCTTTTCTTTCCCATGTCAGGTCTAAACACAGTAAACACCTTTCCCATGTTCCAGAGTTCTTTAAGAAGGAAGGCAACACTTGTACAAACACAAGTTTCTAAATAGAGGAACATTATTAGAGTGCCACTGCACAGAGATACTTTATCTTAAGTGAATAATCAGCTCTTGATTTGAGAGAAACAACTTTAACCAATTTTAGCCATTTTTCTATGGAAAGTTGTGCCTCATTGCTACTCCTTCTGATCACGTAACAGCTTCAGGCTAAGTTGCTCCAAGTAGAATGTTCCCTACAATACTTCTTAGCGTGTTCTAGTAGTCACAATACAGCATTTCTTGCAAGATTAAGACAGACCAACAAAGAACAACAGGCCTACATTAAGTGTGCAGTAAGAAGTAGCTCCTGTTTTAGAGAAACCACATCTTCTCCTGTGTAGCCTAGAAGTGGAACTTGGGACTAAACATTTTGAAAAGAAGTTATCTGTGGTCTTTAAAGGCTTCATTATCTCTAAGGAAAACATTCTCTCCTGTATATTGTGCCACTTAAGCAGGCCAGAGGAATGTTAACCTTTTTGAGCAAGTGGATCAAGTATACTCCTAGCAAAGTTAGGGAACACTTTTTGCCTTAGGTAACTTCAAGTGTTCAAAACAGTTATCAACACCACCTAGGAGCTGGTGCTTGTGAGAATGAGCTAGTTAACAGAAACCAGCATTCCATACGTGAACGCAGTGGACTTCTCAGATCACTTTTCCTATCAGTGCACTTAGATTGCATTAATGATTGAACTACAACGTGTGTTGAAAATATCTCTAGTATAGCTTTTTTGGCGGGCAGTAGCATTCCTAGGCTATTTAGTTTTAGCAGCAGCTGCCCAGCCTTTTGTAGTAACAACTGCACTGAACCCCATTCACAGTTGAGGGCCAAGATGATGATTTAGGTAAGTGGCTGACAGAGGAAATGTGGTAAACGCTTCCAGCAACAAGCTTAAAGCATTTCAGAACAGGATAGACACAAATTGTGAGATGACTAACTGAATCAACAAAAAGGCACTCTCCCCTTCAGGGCAGGTAACTCAAACCAAAAGGGTGTCAGATTACTTAATAAGAGCAAACTTTCAAGTTAATGAAAGAAACTGGCCTTGCAAGTTCACAAACAGTCCTACTTAAGAGTCAGAGACAAAAATCTAAGCTGACACATTAAAAGTTTTGCAGCTTCATATACGGAAGTAGTAACAGTTCTGCAAAAAGAAGTCACACCTTCAGCACCTTCACAAAGTACTGAAAGACACTAAGTTCCTGTTCTTAGAGAAATAAAATGCAAGACACAGAGGTCCAAAAATGCCCTAAAAAAAGCTCCCTGAAGGAAAGAATACTAGGAAAGCAGTTACTTTATACCTTTGTTGTAACCCTGTATGTGATATATGTCTCCATTGTGCACACGTGCTTTTTGGGATCATCAACAGTGACAAAGAGGTCTCTAGTTTCCCCATCCAAGTCATCATCCAGCTGCAGTCTGTTGAGGAGAGATGAGGAGGAGGCTGGACTAGAAGTGTCCACAGGTGTGCCATTGGGTAGACTGAGATCCTGTATGGGAGAGAAAAAAGCAGCATATTTTTAATAAGTGATCAGATTCACTTTAAAGCGCAGTATTCTCAAAGATGCCACTGATAAGATCCACTGATACACTACAAGGGCTGTTTATTTCAACAGCTCCAAGGATCACCCTTTTCCAGGTCACCTGGGCAATCCCCAGAGCCTGGGCTTTGAGCGTTAGGTTGTTCTGCTGTTCCACATGTTTAAGAGAAAGCACATTACCAGTGTACCTCTCCTTAGTATGGCACAACCTAGTCTCTACTCATGAGAAAGTGTAAATATTGCTGAACCAACAGTTTCTGGGGAGGCTGAACCTACTTAAACTCTAAAAACGAAACAGCTTGGCAAATGAAGAGACCTACAGGCTTCAGGCAAAGTTCAGATGACTCGAATGCAGTCAGCCTTCACCTCCAGAGACTCCTTCAGCAGAGGAAGAAGGGCAAATTTGTATCAGAGGCTTCCTTACAAATCTGTTGACAGCAGTAAAAGACTGATTAGTCGTCACTGCACTACAGGACAGTCACAGGTCATACACTCCAGCAACAGTATCTACGCACTCCTCCCTTGTAGACTCTTAAGGCAAAAGAAAACACTGTGTTTTGCTCAGGGAGGTCCTTGTTCCCATCCTTCCAGATACAATAGTATCATCCAGTGATTAGGGAAGACCAAGGTTAAAAGAACCAACCAGCGGCTACTTCAGGAAAAACATGCAGGGGTTTGGGAAGTCTGCAATTCCTTGAAACTGGATCAGTAACAGGGTAAAACAAAACAAAACCCACCCAAAACAAACAAACAAAAAACCCCAACAACCACTTTACAGCCAACTTGGTACATTCTCACACCTTCAAATCTCACTTGGATACAGACCAATTACTCTATACAGCCAGTGGTTACTCCACTTTGCATAAACATCACAGCAACTTCACATTCTTTGCTCTGGTTTTGTAGCAGAGGGTGCTGACAGCATGTTACAAGTCAGACAATACATAGGAATATCTGACAACAATGTTAGAAAGTCCCAAAGATTCACAGCTCTTCTCTTCAGAGAGGAGGTTTTTGTTTGTTTGATTTAACTATTAGCAAGAACAAATTTATTCAGAGTGTTTCCCTTGTAAGGACGAAGGTTCCTCAGAGTTTGCTAGACAGAGAAGCTTCACTACAGCTAAGCAGCACATTAACTAGAAGTGTTTTCAGTTTAGAATTACTAATTCACCCCAGCTTCAAAGTCTTTAAGTGGTTAAATGAAAAGTGTAATCTTAGCAAAGCAATCCTGTTTGGGTAAGATCCTCCTTGTCCATCAATATTCCTTATGCAATTGTGGTTTATGTTCCAGCAGGACAAGGACAGTCCCTGTTTTCAGAAGAAGTCCTCCTTTGTTCAAGGGTTCAGAATCACAAGTGAGAGCTTCAAGTTAAAGCTACTTTAAGGTCTGCTTTTGACAATGGCTAAGAGAACAGGGCTGAGTCTCTACCTGTCTTTGTCCCAAACCCATCATGGGACTGCTGGGATGTTACAGACAGCCCTCTGCCTCTTCCAGTCCTGCAAAAGTCTGGTAGCACTGCTCTTCACCTTAAGGACTGCCATATCAAGTAGGGAGAGCAACATTTTAGCCTTTCTGGGAAAGGGGTGAGCTAAACTATTGTCTACTAACAGAGAGGTTAGATGCATTCTCCCAGCTAATACTCAGAATTGTTTGCCAAAAGTTTTCAGATTTAACTAACACATGAGCACGAATTAGAAGGTAGGCAGTAAAATGCTCTCTTAAGAGGGCAACAGAGCAGGATGAGTGTGGCACAGCTTGCCAGCTCATATACAAGGCAGACAGCTTGAACTACACAAGCATGTGGCTTGGAATCAATCTCACAGGGTATGTATAACAGGAAGAAGCTATGCTGCAATAACTCAGCAGATAAGGAGTTCTGATGGAGTTACACAAACAAAACAAGCAGAAGACAGGGTAAGATTAGCAACAAGAGAAGGCTGCAGAAAATCTGCAGTACAGCTAGACAGGATAATTTGCCTGAGCAAAGAGCAAAATGAACCGTGGGAGACCACAGTAGCTGTAGACAAGTCTCTTTGTGTTTCAAAGGGAAAAGACACTGCCCATGTGCAGTGTTAGTATAAGACAAGTTGTGCCAGAACCACAGCCAGTCAAATTCTAAGCTTCCAGTATGGAAATGAATTTACTTGCAGAAGCAGCTTGAGCCTGGCTGCACAGGAGATCAAAAAAAATCCTGCCAAAAGAAAGTTTAAAGAATATGATGTATCTGCTTAATATATGAAAACTTTGCATTAAGGTGTAAGAACAAATAGAGGAAGGACCAAAGATGGAGCTTACAGCCACTTGCATGAAGTAAGTGACTTTCCTCACCAGTTCTGTTGGGAGATAACAGTATCACACTGTCAAATCTCACACTTTTAAAGCAGGGCAGAGGTCTGTACAGGCTGGAATCCACTTCAATCTGTCTGAGTGTGTGCTTGCAGTCACGGGTCCTGTGGAATGACTCAGGTCTTAAAATAAAGGCTGTGATAGTTTTGCCTGATACCAGTTTCAGATGAAACACCCTGGATTTAGATCAAGTAAAGCTTCTAGACCAACTCTGGTTAGGAGCAGGAGGCTGCTAGCAATGGTGAAGAAAACGGCAGAGGATGTGTACCCTGACAGTACTACTGTGCTGTACTGTGATAGCAGAACCCCTCCCAGCAGTCACAGCTGGCATCACGCCCTGCTGCTTAGCTAGTTTTCAGTGGTCAAAGGCCAAGTTATAAGCTGACTATTCCTCTTTTTCAATGGTGCCTCCTAGCTGCTGAACCTTCATTCAACAGTAGGCAGGACTAGTTTGCCAAAGTCTTATGTTATTGCTAGAAAGGGGTAGGTTTTGAAGAGTCACAGCAGGTGGCCCAGCAATCTGAGTTGTCTCAGTCAGTAATCCTCTCAGCAGAGCACCTCCTCTTCACCTTAACTGGCACTGGCTTTCTTCCATGGGAACTTGAGGCAGTTGGGGAAGCAAGACTCCATCATCTGTTCTACTCTGCTTTTATCACAAAGAAGTACATCCTGCAGAGCCTAGAAGGAAAGAGGATCTGCAGACATCAGCATTTTTACCTGTTACTGTAATTGACATAACAACAAGCCTCTTAAATACTGGCTAGTATGAATTGTTATGTATAGCGATGAGTCTGACTTCAGCACCAGAGACTCCTGCATCAGCTTTGCCTTTACTGCACCAAGTAGCTGCTCATCCCTGTTTTAAGTACCTATCTGCATTACCAGAGATCAGCACAGTCCTGCTCTCAGAAGGTCTCCCCTGTTCAAAAAGCTCTTCACACAAATTGCCTTTTTGACACAGTATATATAACTATAACTCACAGTACAGTCAAGCCTGCCACAAAATTGAATAGCCCCCGACTTGGGGAGGAAGGGAGGCTGCTTCTGGCAGCCAGGTAGATGGAATGGAGGACAGCTTTGGCCAAGACATTCTTCAAGTCTTAGAGTATGTTCATGAAGACTTCATCAAGTTTCAAAGCTTTTTCTCAAGTAAAGAGCAAAGATCCTCTCAGCCTCTTCCTTCACCTCAGGCAAGTTTCACAGCTTTGTCATCTGCTGAAGCAAGTCAGGTGAAGGCCTAGCAAGGTCTGGATTACCGCCTTAAGCAGACACCATCCAGACCTTCAGGTTCATCACCAACTGATTAAGTACCAGGCTTTTATGTACAGTTGTACAACCACCTACAGGGAGACTTTCTATGCACTCCTATGGCTTTGTACCCAAATTTATGGGTACAAGAGATCAGATCATTCTAGTAGCACAAGTTTGGTAACCTACAGTGCAGGGCAAGTATGAACTAACTGCCTGTACTGGAAATGCACAAGCCCTGCCAACTATGCAGACTGCTATCTGGTAAGGAAGCAGCTTCACATTCTTTTGTTGTATAATGCAGTTCAAACACCTCAAATAGTTAGCCTCTTCAAAAACAGATACTAAATCTATCAAGAAGTTCACATGTTCCAAGTTTAAAATTCAGATGAATTACATAAACTTAGAAGTACACATGTTGAGATGCAAAATGAATTGGGAAGTTTCCAACTTTTGTCATCTTCTCGCTCCTTCATTCCCCAAAGAGATTTTTCCAAGACTCCAGATTTATAGCTTGGATCCATATAAAGTAAAATCTCAGGAGTTTGGTATTCACCTTCTGGATGACAGCCTTCCCCACTGTAGTAGTACACAACAGAGAAAGCATCCAGAATGCAACTTTTGAAGGCTAAAAAAGGGCCTAAAATTCTGTAAGTATTGGCTTATTATCAAATGAAGATAACACAGTCTCCTGCAGATTTGAGTGCAGCCAGTCAACGCTGCAGCTTCTACAAACTGAATACTAGCTTCCACTTACTCTGCCTTAGCAGGTATAGCTTAAACAGACAGCTTTGCTATCCAAACAGCAGTCCATTAAGGAAATGGAAGATGTGGTAGTACTGCTGAATCTTCCAAGCACAGAAAAGCTTATCTCCAGAAGATGTTAGCCTGAAACCACCTGATGTTGCAAGCACATTGTTCTCACTCAACAAGGGATACATGGCAGTAACAGACATTTAGAATTGTTGCTGTTTAGAGGAAAGTGGAGCACTTAACCCCAAATACCCCAGGCCTAACCTGGGGACTTTATGGCCTAGGCTGCACCACTCCTTCAGCAGCACTTCCTCCCTTCTGAAATCCAGAGTGTTCTGCCTTTCTCCTCACGTTTTAATGTGTTCCGTTGCATTTTGCCATCCGCTTCCCGAAGAGACACAACCACAGGTACAGTCACATCAAAGGGACGATGACTCCACAGAATTATCGGAGCTAGAACAGTCTGATGTTCAAACCTCCAGTATACAACAACAAGCCATAGCAGAATTGTTGTTGGTAACTGAAAAACTAAAATTATGTAGATACAATTATTCTCCAGAACACTCTAAAAGTCTGTATTAGCTTTCACAGACCTGTTCACGGCACTACTTGCCTTATCACAGCAGGTTCTGAAAGCAGGTATTTTGCCATTTCTAGAGTTCTATGCCACTAGCCTGCAGGTCAGCTTTTGTAGAAAGAGAAAGCACTTTTCCATCCTCCATTCTATCTGGATCAGCTCATCTGTCATTGACAGCACAGCCTCCTATTAGAAGATCTCACTGAGCATCTGTATAGTGAAATCTCAGTCTGCGAAAGACTGATTCAACACCAGCTGTAAACAAATACCTAAACTTTTCTTGATAGACAACAAGGGGGAAAAAAGCATTTGCTTCTCCCTTACATGTGTTCAGTTTCATTCTCCACCAGACATCAGCATCATACTTTGATTACTACAGGTCACCTTTGCTTCCCCACATGTAGCTGAGGTAGACATGCAATACTGCATGTCCCCTACTCTTGAATTCATCTTTAGGCAGCTACTTAAAGGCAAGAATGACCAAAGTGAGGATCCAGACTGCAGAGAATGGAGAATGCTCTGGACATAGCAGGGAAGGGAGGATAAGAGCAGTAATGCTCTACAAGGCTTACAAAACTAAATTAAAGCCCCACAGCAAAACTCCAAACCACCTGTAAATTCCCAGATGGAAGTACCCTATTTCTACATTGATCCACAAACAAGACAGCGTTAAGTTGCAGTTTGACAGGAACTGCAATAATAAACTTCTAAGGCTAGACCTACCTTCCTGGAAGGAGTAAGCAGTCGCATGTACACCAGCTCCTGACATCTTTCTGCAGTAACTGGAGGGAGAGTCCAGTACGTGTGGGAACAAGATTACAGCCTCAGAAGAGGTCAGTATTTTCCCTTACATTAATAATCCAGAATCAAAATGCAAAGTTGAGGATATTTCAAGAGCAATACAGACTAAACACAAATCAGAAGTGAGTCTTCTTGATCTTACCTGGAAATGTGTCAGCAGAGCTGGGTGCTGCGGACACAAGCCCAGATTTTTAATTGCCAGCCCTGGAGGATATTTCACAGCAGGTCTGCAGGCCCTGCAGTGCTGGGGAGAAAGCCCCTAACTCCCATGAGGCACACATACCACACCTGGTCCAAGCATCCCCTCTACAGTTGCAGCAGCCCCACTGGTATTCTGTCCATCTAGCCAAACAGCCACTGGATAAAGGCTGGATGAATTTGCTCTTGGTTTATTTTAAATAGGTGTCAGAGTACAGCATGCTGCCAAGCCACGAGTCTGATAACTTTGTTCTGGAGTTCATCATTCAGACCAGTCTTTCTGCTCTGTGAATCAGAGTTTACTGGAGACTGACTACTCAGTACCCCTAAAAAAATTAGAATTTCAGAGGCAGCAGCTGATCATAACAGCATGCAGATTAGTACCCCTCAAGAGCTAGGAGCATTCATGCTTATACAGCTATTATACGTGGAACAGCGTCTCTTTGCACTTTTGCTGGACAGAGAAACACTGCAACAAGCTTCACAGAGACACTACATGATTGCACTTTCCAAGCCTACTCATACA